GGGGGAAAAAAAGGGAAAACAAAAAAAAAAAAAAAAAAAAAAAAAAAAAAATTCATTTCATTTTCATTCATTTTTGTTTAGTTTGATCACCATTGGCCAAAAGTAAAAGTCAGAATAAAATGTATTGTGCAAAAAAAGATTATGTAAATTATGATTAATATCGAAAAAAAAAAAAATTTTTGGTCACTTTTTTTTCCGGACCTATTCCAATGATGATCATTTTGTATTTGTCCATTTGNTTTCTCAGAACAACAACAACAACAACACTATCCATCCTGATGAACACACACATCACAGACACACACATTAAGATTATCATTTTGAAGAAAAGAAAAGAAGAAAAAAATTACATCGTGGAAATGTGTGTTTCTATAGAAAGGCATGTTGAAAGTTGCAATATTCAAAATTCAAGGCCAGTTGCTTCCACACACACACACATCAAACATTCAAAAAAAAATGTCGAATCATAATCATAATCAATCAATCAAATGGTTAAACTTGAATCAATCAATCGATCGATCGATCGATGACGTTAATCAAATTTTTTGAAAAAAAAACTCTGATCGAATGATTATTCAATCAATCAACAAAAAAAAACATTCGAAATAATTATCAATGATGAATGACGAAAGATGGCGCCACGCTTTTCATTTTTTTTTTCTTTAAAAAAAGTGTTATCCATGGAGAAAAACGGAATTTCGTTTGGAAAAATTCTTTCGCAAAAATCAAAAATCAAAAAAAAAAAAAAAAAATTCAAAATGTTACAACTGTCAAAATGACAAAGCATTTTCTTTTGAAGAAAAATTGTTTGTCACCATCATCATTATGATGATGATGATAAAAGTAAGATTAATTGAATGGATAGAGAAAGAAAAAAGGGTGATTTGTTTGGTTTTTGGGAAAATTTCGAAAATGAAACAAGAAAACTTACGGAAAATTTATGAAGAGAAAAAAGATAAAAACCTTAAAACAGAAAAAAAACAAACAAACACCAGAATAGAACATTTGACTAGATAAGGAACTAGGAATCTTTAACGATCGAAAAACAAAAAAAAAATGTTTCAAGAATCTTTCCTGCAAAAAGGTATGTTGTCGTTGTTTGGTAGTAGGTGTGATTGGCACAAGTGATTTGTTTGTTTCATTCAAAAAAGTTTTCAAAAAAAGTTCGAGATAAAGTCTGTTTGTGATAAATCATTGGGGATGACATCTCACTTTTTTTTTTGTTTCACTTCAGCTTGTTGTTGTTGTTGTTTTAACCGGAAAGATTTCTTTTCACTGTTCACAATTTCGATGATTTGAAGGAAAAAATTTTTTTCGTTTTTGAAAACAAGAAAACATCGAGAAAAACTTTACAAATTCAGTTTTTGGATCGAGCAATCGATAATGATAATATCTAACGATGCTAGTGTGTGTGTCACTAGGTTTTTTGTAATTTTTTTTTGTAAAAAGAGAGAAAAAACAAAATGACTAGATATTTTATAATAACAAAACAGTAATTTTATAAAAAAATTTGTAAATAAATATTTTTTTTTTTATAACTAACAAACAATATTAGATAATTTTTTTTTAAAAAAAACAGAAAACAAGTAAGATAAATTTTCTATAATGATGAATAACAAATAAATACTTAAAGTGTGTTTGTTTGTGTTTAGTGGTTACAAAAATGTTTTCTCGTCAAAGAATCAAAGGCTTTTTTTTCAATCTTTCTTTTTTTTTTGGTCCAAAATAATTCAAGGTAAGCGTGTGTGGTGTGTGTTTATGGTGAATGATTCTTTGTAAATTCGATGAAAATCAATGATGATGATGATCAGAACACAGAACCACACAACAATCACCAAACAACAAACAAACAACCGGAAAAAAATTTTTATCTTTTCTTTCGTTCAATCGTTCATACCATTCACAAACATTCCATCAAACAACACACCACACACACACACACCGTACACCAGCAAACTAAATCACATCATCATCATCATTATCGTCGTCTTCTTGGTTGTTATCGAAAACATTAACCATCAGAAACACAGAAGAAGAAGATTATCATAGTCAAAACACACACATTTGATTTGTTTGGTTGGGAAAAACAAAAAAATTCATTTCATTTCCGAAAATCCGAATGGGAAAAAACAAACAAACAAAATTTTTCTTATCACCGGGTATAGATGATGATGATCACTACCGAACAACCAAACAAACAAAACACACACCTACATACAACAGACACAAACACACACCAGAGAAAAAACTGAAGAAAAACTTTAACCAAAAAACAAAAATACAGCGGTTGTTCATAGAGAGAGAAGGGGGAGGAAGATGATACCATCACATTTACGTTTTTTCAACAATAAGCCAATCTATTGTTTTCTTGTTTTCCTGGCCCTCATCATCATTTTTTCACTTCAAACAAGGATCCCCGAAACTGAAAACTGAACAGAAACAGAAAAAAACAAGGGACCCAAAACATATAACAACAACAACAACAACAACAGCAGAAAATATCACATGCGTCCAACCAAAAAAACACCAAACATATTCACTACTTTTTGATCGCATTGCGTCTTCTACTCCAAAAAAATGATGATGATAATACTCCATACACGTTTTTCTATATATCATCATCATTGAATCCAATGCTTTGTGTGATGATGGTGGTGGTGGTAGTAAGTTTGGAGCCATAACTGAATAGAATGAATGAATGAATGGATGGCGCCCAAAATGAAATGAAAATTTCTCTTTCTTTTTTGGTTTCCCTCTCTCTCTCTCTCTCTCTCTCTCTCTCACACACACACAGACATCATATATAATAATGATTTTTTGGTTGTTGTTGTTGTTGTTGTTGTTATTCAAAAATTGGTTGGCATTGACAACAACAACAACAACAACAACAACCAAAAATGATAATAATAATAAAAAAGGCAACCATCATCATCATTCATATTGGAAGAAAAAAACATTGGATCTCTCTCTCTCTCTCTCTCTCTCTCTCTCTCTCTCTCTCTCTCTCTTTCCCTCTTTATATCAAAAACAAAAATAAAATACCGCTATTCAAACAAAACAAAACAAATGCTATACATGTTACTGCTGTGTTACATGATTATTGGCTTAAATAACAATTTACATTTACAAAAAAAAAAAAATTATTTATTAATTTGAATAATAATTATAATAATGATGTTGA